ATTATGAGCCCAAAATAATATGGCCCTGAGAACCAGCTAGCCGGGCTTGATACGAAATCGGCCCAACCTTCAAGTAGTCCAACTCTGCATGCAATGCTAATGGGCAAAAAAACCAAAATCTGTGAGTTCATATTGTAAGATCCCATTAGACAAATCAGTTTTTAAGTGCGAATCAGACTGGAAAGTTTCTGATGCTGTTGGGTATAGTGGAGGAATTTGGGTTCTCTAGGAAGTGAACCTGGAGATGGTGGACTGCCATAAACAATTCATTCACCTCAAGTGCTTTGTGGAAAACAAAGAAACTTGCCATATCACTACTGTCTATGGAAGCCCCAATGAGTATGATAGGAAAGCCCTATGGGATGCTATCAGAATCATTGACGGTAGAACTCACCTCCCTTGGATGCTCACTGGGGATTTAAACTCCATCACGAGACCTTCGGAGAAGCAAGGGGGAGCTAAGTTCCGGTTTGCTAAAGTTAGAGACTTCTGTGATTGCATCCAGGACTGTGGTCTGATTGACTTAGGGTATATTGGACCGAGCTTCACCTGGTTTACCAAGTCATCTCGGCTTAAGGAAAGACTGGATCACAGCCTTTGTAATCTGGAGTGGCAGCAAAAGTTCCCAACGACGACTACTTTCCACCTGACGAAGCTCAAATCAGACCACCGTCCCCTCCTCACCTGCACTCAGGGTTCTAGTCTGAAGAAAAGACTTCCAAGGAGGTTTCAGTTCCTGGCGCCATGGCTTGCTCACCAAGATTTTTTCCCTTTCCTGTCTGCAGCTTGGCAGACTGGGGGTGATTTTGTGGCCTCTCTGCAGGGGGTGACTAAAGATCTTGAGAAGTGGAATAAGGAGGTTTTTGGTAACATCTTCAAGAGGAAAAGGGTTCTTTCCAATAAACTCAACTCCCTGGAGTTTATCAACGAGAGAAACCCAACGGCGAGATCTAGAATGGAAGAACAAAGGACGAGGGAGGATTTGGAGGATACTCTCTGGCAAGAAGAGTAACTCTGGATCCAAAAGTCTAGGGCTAACTGGCATATTCATGGAGACCAGAACACTCGCTTTTTCCATAATAGTACACTGGGAAGAAGGAAGAGAAACACGATTTCGGGACTTAGAGATGAACAAGGCAATTGGGAGATCAACCCGGATGTCCTTCTTAACATGGCAAGAGAGTTCTTTGTCAAACTCTACACCAGTGAGGAGGAGGAGGTTCGACCTTGGGTGGTTGCTGCCTTCCCCCCATTGATGATGCCCTGTTGAAGAGGGTTGGCGCCATTCCTGCAGTCGAGGAAGTGAAAGCGACCATTATGAGTATGAATGGACTCAAAGCGCTAGGGAAGGATGGTTTCAGAGACCCTGAGAAAATCCAGTGGATCAATGATACTCTCCTTGCATTGATTCCCAAAGTCGATTCACCTTTAGCTATGAGTCAGTTTCGACCTATTAGCCTCTGTAATGTGAGCTATAAGGTAGTGGCGAAATGTATAGCTAACAAGCTGAAGGATCTGATGCCTCGTCTTGTTCATCAGAACCAATCGAGCTTCGTACCCAAACGTCACATCTCCTCTAATATCCTGATCCTTCAAGAAACAGTCCATTCCATGGCAAGAAGAACAGGGAAGAAGGGGTGTATGCTTCTCAAAGTGGATCTCGTCAAAGCATATGATCGTATTGCTTGGCCCTTCTTGGAGGAGACACTGAAAGCCACCAGGCTGCCTGACTCGACCATCAACCTTATCATGAAGTGCGTGACGACGACAAAATTCGAAGTACTTTGGAATGGGGGAGAAACCGAGACCTTCACACCATCCAGAGGCCTTTGTCAGGGATGTCCCTTATCTCCCTATCTCTTTACTTTATGTGTTGAGAGACTGCATTGCATTTTTGAGGAGGTTAATGACTCGCTATGACACAACTCCTAACAGTGGCCAAGTGTAACCAATGAAAGGGACTGCAATATAGTGGCTCAAGTAATAAATATCGAATCCACGGGTCTCTAGAGTTACTATTACTCAGCTTCAGTTCATTATCTAGCAAACCAGATTAAGATGAAAGAACTAAAACTACTCTAGCAAACTACAGTTAAAGTTAATCTAATTACAGGTTGGGAACTCACTTAGGTATGATTCCCCCTAGCCACTAGCCAGATTAACGATTGATGATCTCTAACATGTTTCACTTTCATTCACAATGCGGAGAATCCTTAACTAGACCTTGAGTCTCGACTAAAGGAACAAGGCCCTCTTGAGTCAATTGCCTAGAGGGACGTATCCTTCTCTAGAACAACCGATCAAGGCGTTCTGAACTAGATTCCCTCTATCGAATGAGGTTCTCAATCGATACAAAGCATTGAATCAACCCTCGACTAAAGCAATCGATCCACTACTATCAATCTATGGTGCTCTATTGACCTAATCAGGTATTCGCTCTCATAGGATCAAAGCAGAATCAATAATCTCGACTAAAGCAGAATTGAATCATGAAAACATGCATAGATTGAATATGAACTCAAGATTATCAAGTAAGAGTACTCATACAATCATCCAATCAAACAAACATAGCTAGGGTTCCTCAAAACCTAAGTGAAGGGAAGTTACTCCATAGAGAAGAGAGAGACTGCAGTAAGAATCTTCAGATGAATCTTCAAGTCCGGGCTTGTTCCTCGAGCTTCCAAGGCGAAGAAATCCTCCAATTCTACTCTTAGAATGCCCTCAAATCGCCCTCTCTTTCTTTGGTTCGTCCCTTGGGTGTTTGGGATCCAAAACCCAGCTCTACCTCTCCTTTGGCTCGAATTTGGATTAAAAAATCCGATTCTGGGCAAAACACGGTCGAGGGCACGGCCGTGTTTTGCTTTTGCCCGCCCGTGTTTTGCCCCGTGTTAAAAACACGCCCGCGCGCGTCGGCCAAAACACGGTCATGCCTAAATATGGGCACGGCCGTGTTTTGATTTAGGCGCGCCCATGTTTTTACTGCCGAACCTGTTCCCCTATATTCAATGCTTCGTTTCTCCCTCGTCCGGACTCCGAATCAGTCGCCGTTTGATCCCAGACGCTCGTAGTCTCGTCCTCTTCTTTTCATGACAAGCTTGCATGATTCTTTGTCCATAAAGTGAGGTAGAAATCCATTCTTCTTCAGGTCATGCCCGAGTTTCTTATCCCGAATCGCCAATTGATCTCTGATTGACTTGAAACTTGCGCCTATGCTTCACTTTATGTGCTAGGACCTGAAATGTGACAAAGGAACACAACCTAGCATAAAATAGGCCAAAGACACGATAATTAAAGCTCAAACGATCAAGAAACAAAGGGGAAAACATGTGCAAATATCGAGTCATCAGTTAACTTAGGGAATTGGAAACCTGTGTGTTTGTCTATTGGTGGCCCTGCTTTGTCTCACTTGTTTTTTGCCGACGATCTGGTGTTATTTTCTGAATCTAGTCTAAAGCAAGCTGAGGTGGTTATGAACTGTTTGAACTGTTTTTGTGCTGCGTCAGAAGAATTGGTTAGCAAAGACAAATCTAGGGTCTTTTTTTCCAAAAATGTTAACTCTCATAACAGAACTGCCATTTGTAACTGCTTAGGAATTCAGGAAACTTCGAATCTTGGTAGATACTTAGGAGTTCCTGTGTTACATGGGAGACTTACTAAGTATACTTATTAGTACATTTTGGATAGAATTGATCAGAAGCTTACTGCTTGGAAAGCTAAGACTCTGTCACTTGCAGGCAGGGTTACTCTTGCCTTGTCAGTTTTGAATGCAATCCCCACCTACGCTATGCAGACTTCATTGCTCCCTGTCTCGGTTTGTGATGAGATTGATAGAAAAATCCGTAGCTTTGTTTGGGGGTCTGAAGTTGGGAAAAGAAAGGTGCATTTGGTCAGTTGGGATACAATTTGTAAACCTAAAAATATGGGAGGGCTTGGGCTTAGATCGACTCGCAGTTTGAACCTTGCTTATATGATTAAACTTGCATGACAGATCTTGAACAATGACTCTGATCTCTGGGTGCAGGTTCTGCAGGGAAAATATTTCAAACACGAGGAGGGGAATATCGTGTCAATGAAGACAAGTAATCACTCTAACTTGTGGAGAGGAATTATGAAAGCCATGCCGCTGATGAAAAGCGCCACCTGCTGGAGCATTCGTGATGGAAGGTCTACAGGGTTTTGGACCCATCCTTGGCTTGATAGTGGGATTACCCTTCAAGACTTCCTCCAGAAGGACATCACTGATGAGGAGCTCTCCTCGACAGTTGCTGATTGGATCACAGAGACAGGTAAGTGGGATCTGGGGAGACTTAGAGATCTACTCCCTAATGACATTCTCTTGATGATTGTAAGGATGGGCACGCCAGACCCTGATGCAGGAGAGGACATGACGATCTGGGGACCTGAACCTGATGGGAAGTTTCGGCTTAAGTCAGCATACAGACTTGCTGCAAATGAGATGGAGGAGGAGCCGGTGAAGATTTGGAAGGAGTTGTGGCGATGGAAAGGGCCAAGAAGGGTGAAACATTTCCTCTTGTTGGTAGTCCACGATCGACTTCTTACCAACAAGGAACGTACCAGGAGGCAGCTTACAACGATTAGCTGCTGCCCACACTGTCCAAACTGCGAGTAAAGCACTAAACACATTATGCGGAGCTGCAGAAAAGCGTCCAAAATTTGGTCGAAGATGAGGAGCAGTTTGAAGCTCACCAATATGTCTATACCTTTCCAAGATTGGCTATTGGGCAATATCAGTGATGATGAAACTGGAGTCGACTTCGGTATCATTTGCTGGCACCTCTGGAAGCAGAGGAATGAGGAAGCGATGGAAGGTAAAAGATTCTCGGAAGAGGGGCTTTTCCACTGGATCAAAGCATGGATCAACATCTTTAGGAAAGCTCAACAGAACTTCCAGAAATCCTTGACCCTGCAGGTTAGATCTTCCGAGCGTGTCCAAATCGGATGGAAAGCTCCTGCTGTCGGATGGGTCCAAGTGGCAATGGATGGATCGGTCCAGCTACCCGAGGGAAAGGCTGCTGCAGGAGGTCTCATTCGAGACCATCTGGGTAATGGCCTTGCCGCCTTTGTAAGCAATCTTGGATGCTGCTCAATAACGAGAGCAGAACTGAAAGGCATCAAAGAAGGGATGAAGTTGGCTTGGAGCAAAGGCTTCAGGAAAGTTTGCTTGATTTCGGACTCGTCCACTGCTATTAGTATCACCAAGAGCAGGAGGAATGAGGATCATTACTATGAGCTTATTGCACAAAGTATTAGGAAGCTTTTGAGTTTAGATTGGGAGGTTACTATATCACATGTGTATAGGGAGTCCAATTCTGCTGCTGATTTTCTCGCAGCTAGAGGTCATGAATCCCCTTTTGGCACACATCCGTTCGATGTGAGCAACCCGGGATTGAAACATTGGATCTTGTATGATGCTATGGGTATTTCCCAGGAACGGATTATTAGTAATATGAATTAAGACGCCTTTGGCGTCGTCTTTCCACCCAAAAAAAAAAAAAAAGACTGACTAGCAAACTTGAGGAAGAGAGGCATGATTCTTACCAATTGGTGTTCTCTATGCAAATCTTAAGAGGAGTCCGTCTCACATATCTTATTCTCATTCTCCTTTTCAGCGACAATTTGGGCCAAATTTATAAAGATATTTCAGTTTCACGGTCCGTTTCCAGCTAATATCAGTTGTTTTCTCCCGGTTTGGAGAGGATTGTGGTGTGATCCAAAACTCAAAGATTGTGTCAAATTCTTACCACATGCAGTGTTTTGGTCCATTTGGAACGAGCGAAACAACATAATTTTTCACGATTTGGAAGCTACACAATCTGAGGTTTGCAGTAAGATTGTTCAGATGGTCGGCAGGTGGCTGCGGCCTTTTGGACTTATCTCTGATGACTATTTTCAGCAGTGGTTGAGGATTGGGGTAGGGTGAGTAAATATCTGTCGTCGTTGTATCAAATTTTTTCTTTCTTTTTCTTCTTTCATTTTTTGGTGCTCTTTTCTTGACTTTTGATGTAAGTTGGTTTGGACTTTTTTGTTTGAATTTGTTTTTCTCCATTTTTGTAGCCTGTTGTCATCTTCTACTTTCTTTATTCGTTTTCTTTCTTGTTTGTCCCACATTTGTGTGTAGGGATGACAATTTGCCCATACCCATGGGAATTTTACTATCCAACCCAATTGGGTTGGGTATGGATTCCAAATAAATGGTAGATGGGTAAAGTTTGATGGATTTGTACCCATACCCATTTACTTGGGTTGGGTTTTTAACACATGGATTTGGGTTTGTACCCATGCTCAAAGGCAAATTACAGTTTGGTACCTAAACTTAATAGATATGCAGATTTAGTACCTAAATTTAATTTTTTTGCATATAAGTCCTCAAAATATCAATGGAAATTTACGTTTTGGTACCTAAATTTTTTTGGTCTTGCATTTTGGTACCTAAACTTTTCAAGTTTTAAAAATAGGTTCAATTTTTGTGTGTAGTTAAAACACCCTCAAGTAAATGGATATCCATATCCAACCCATACCCATTTAAATTATGAAAGCAATATCCATACCTAACCCAAACCCATCTACAAACCCCCAAACCCATATACACTTCATCCAAACCCTACCCATACTAAATGGATCTATTAGGATTTGGGTAAAATTACTCATGGGTGGGTAATTGCCATCCCTATTTGTGTGGGGTTTTTCTTCCATTTAGTGGTCTTGAATCCTCTTTTCTTTTACTTCGTTTTGGTAATAATACTTGGTCTCATCATCCATAAAAAAAACTGTGAAAGAAATAGTACCATTCTAGCTGCCCTAACCTTTATGAAGACATTGACATTTTATTAATGAGAATATCTCATCTATATATGTAAATAGCAAAAATTACAACGATGGTATCTAACACCTTCTACAAGGTCAAGGGCATGCCATTTTTTGGGCTCATGATAGGCCCAAAAGACCAACTACCTACGTCTGACAGCAGACAGCCAGGAAAAAGAACAAGAGGCAATAGATCAGATTCACTCGTAGGTGCACTTGTTCTTCAGGGGAATCGCCAAGTTCATCTTACGAGGGTCCATCACCACGGTGCAACGGATCCTCTTATAGAACTTGGGCCTCACCAGCCGGCCCAATACGTTCGCTCTCGACCGGACCATCAAGCTGAGCGCCAGCGGCACGGGCTGAACCGGCGCGCCTTTCAGGAAGCTGCCCAGCTCGGCTCCCCCACCGTACAGCGGGATCTTGTTCCCTCTCGCCGTCGCCGTCAACGTTCTCTGGCTCTTCCTCGATTGATAGAACTCCTTAACCTGCCCATAGAGAGTGATTAACCAATGCTTCAATCATTAATTGTGGGATTAAGTGTTAATCAAAGTCTTGAGCGTAGTATTAATTAATTAATTAATAGCGGCTTACGGTTCCGGTGGCGATGGTGAGCTGAGAGTAGGACAAATCTAAAGGAGTGGGAGTGACGTGGACGCCGAAGAAGGTGGCGGTGTTGCGGAAAGTGAGCTTGACGGAGCAGTTGATGGACACCATCTCCGTCGCTACGCCTGAGAAATCCGCGCCGGCTTGAACTATGAACTGGTCGAACGTTATGCTCTGCAGAACAGAGGCCATTCATCCCAACGCAAATTCATTATATTTGTGAGCCGAAACAAAAGCAATCAGAGGATACTGACAAGAAAAAGTACATTGTAAAGTGCTAGGTAGAAGCTGGGTCCTTCCTAGTGCGTAGTACGTTTAAGCGATTTTAGGTGTTTTAATCGGAAAACAACGGTTTTTAATAGAAATAATAATTTTAAAGCACTTCTTAACTTTGGTTCAATTTCAAATGATTAATAACTTAACTAACTTTCAACAACAATCAAAATATGTAATGATTTCTTAGAATCATAAGTTTGTATAAGCGTTGTGCCTTCTGACTGCGCTGTAATCGACGATGGTGAAGATGAGGGCAGAGGGTCAAGGCGACCGGAGATAGAGAACTAAAGAAGTCGTAGGTTGTGGCTCCTATGCAGGGCAGAGTGTTGGGTCTACAAGATCGTGAGAAGAACTGTCAAATTCGTGGATTATGAGTGCTCTATAGTCGGTAGCATTGGAGAGGAGGGCAGAGGGTGAAATGATCAATGGAGTGACAAGGAGAGGCCAATGCAATTCCTAAGTTCAGAGTCTTTGTCTCATTAACCTAGAATTGGAATTCCAAATCGAGGAAGGAAGAGTGAAGGATCCGTTTAATATAGGGTTGCTGGAGATGGAGTCGTTTTGCGAATATTAGCTACTAATTTTGTTAATCCCTAGTTTTGCCAGCACGCATAAGCACGTCTTACTTCGACTAATCATCTCTAACCCCAATTAATCGTCCACAACTTTGCTTAGGCCTTTGCATTATAAAATTCTAATTGTATGCCTAGAGTCTAGACAAGAAGTTTTGTCATTGTCTAGCGCCCAGGGCTAGAAGTATGTAGAATTATGCTCAAATTTAACAAGATGCTACTTATTTTTAGGACAATTGAAATTATTGACTTAGCAGAGAGTAACTTCGAACTAGGTTTGAACTTCAAAGCAAGATTCATCTAAAAGTACTCTTTGTAGTCACTTTAATCACAATTACATTTCTCGCTAGCGAAATTCCCGACCCTGCCAAAGTCCTACATTTTTCATCAGCCGTAAAATATGCTGGTTGATTGCATCTCGTGATTAATTTTTTAAAATGTAAACTATATTTTAGCAAAAAGTGAACATAATAAGGTTGACTACCGACTAACGTACACGTAACATATACATAAAGTACAAATACCGAAACAAAACGAAAAAGAAATTTTAAGGATCTTTCAGCATTAAAGTCCAATTCACGGAAACTTAGGTCGCCTTGATATTTAATTAAAAATAATATTAATACTATTGCAAAATCCTGATTAAGGAAATGGTTAAAATAAAATAAAAAGAGGAAGTAAGGAAGAAGAAATGCAGTGATCCTAATTAACCAGCAACTAATTACTGCACAGAGATGGGGAAATTGGAAATGAAGAAAAAAATGTTTACCTTCATGGCGACGGTGGGCTTCTGCGGCTTGCTCGCCCCCCAAAGAATCAGCGAGAACACCGTGAAAAGCAGCGCGAACCCAACAACGAACGCGAGGAAATAGCACCGGCGAGCACTCAACCCGTGAGCCGACCCGTCGCCGTCGAAAAGCAGCCCTTCCTCCTCGATCGCATCAAACCCCTTCCACGGCTTATTGTTCCCTCCTCCTCCACCGCGGCGGCGGCCCTTCCGGCCGTCCTCGTCACCGCCGCCGCGACGGTGGTGGTTGTTGTCGTTCTTGTTGTTGTTGTTGCGGTGGTGGGAGCCGGAGAAGCGGGTGGAGGAGGATTCCCGTGAGTGCGGGCCCAGGGAGGAGTTGGAGTGCTGGGAGTGCGGTGGGGAGCCCATGGGGCTGATGATGACAGGAGTGGAATGGAACGAGTTCGTTGTGTTCTTGCCCATCGTGGTGCCATCGTCGTCGTGGGAGTCGCGCGACGGGCTCTGCACGTAGTAGGCGGTGCTCCGCGGCGGGGATGATCTTCCTGGGGAGGATGGGGTCAGGCTGCTGACCTCGGAGTCGGTTTTGGAGAGGTTGTGGTGGCCGGAGGACGACATTGTTGTTTTTTTTTTTTTTTTGCTTACTTCTTTGTTTGGTGAGTGAGTGAGTGAGTGATGTTAGAGAGGAAGGAGAGTGAAGAAGGATCTGGATCAGGAGGGAGGGAGGGAAATGAGGGAAGTGCACGTTCGTTGTGGTTGCGGGAAAGGAATAGTTTAATGGGATCGATGTTTTGTGTCTCTTCGTTTCTGACTCTCTAATTAATGATATTGTGGGGTTTGTGTGTGGAGTGGACTTTGCTTGGCACTCGAGATCACTTTGCTCCAAATCTCTGATCACTTGCTATGGTGGGTTAAGTAGATAAATGAAAATCCATTTTGTCAATCTCGTCTTAGCTATGAGAAAATTTCGTTTATTCTTGATTTTTTTATTCAAAGCAGGTTTCATATCTCTCGATATTAACGGTGAAGATGAGGATGTTGTGTGAATTTGAAACTGTAAAGAAGATGAATGCTGAAAATAAAGAACACACGAAATTTACGTGGTATCCCCGGAATACGTGGTATCCACTATGATGTGATGAACAGCTGCCACCAGTTGGTCCCAATAACTCGAGTTGTTTGGAGAAGGTTATGCTGAATCTTATACAGGCCCGTGTATGGTGCTTAACCACTTCCTTACACGCCGCCTCAAACTAAAGCCGACTCATGGGCTTGAAGTTTGCACAGGCCCGCCATACCATGTGCTTGAAAGACAACGATTAATATTGGGGGTCGTGAGGACTTGAACACGTGACCTCAAGAACAAACCAGCTCTGATACCATGTCATAAACCAGTTGGTCCCAATAAGACAGTAGGAGAGGATTGAGGAACGCGAAGCTCGCCCAGGAGGAAGCGAAGCCATAAAACTTCGCTGGTAGCACTGGCCATAGCACGATATTCTGCCTCTGCCGAAGAGCGAGAGACCACCTTCTGCTTTTTAGCCCGCCAAGAGACAGGAGCACCACCGAGCTGGATCACGTAGCCTGTCATGGAGCAGCGAGTCGACTGACAGCCAGCCCAGTCAGCATCACAATAGGCTGTGAGCTCCAAGGAACCAGTAGAGGGCAACAAAAGACCTTGTCCAGGGGCAGCCTTGAGATAGCGTAAGACACGATGAGCTGCATCGACATGCGCCGGACTAGGTGCGTGCACAAACTGGCTGAGGATGTTAACAGCATAGGCAATGTCGGGACGAGTGATGGTGAGATAAAGTAAGCGACCGACAAGGCGCCGATAAGAGCTCACATCGTCGGCGCGATCATCGGTAGGCCGAGTAAGAGTATGATTCTGTTCCATCGGGAAACCACTGGGTCGAGCTGCACTAAGGCCAGAATCAGCCAGGATATCCAAGGTATACTTTCGTTGACAGAGAAAAATACCCTCCGGTGACCGCGCAACCTCAATGCCCAAGAAGTATTTGAGGGGCCCCAAATCCTTGATGCTGAACCGATCGTGCAGAAAAGTCTTAACCCGAGAAATGCAGTCCTCATTGTCCCCTGTCAGAACAACGTCGTCGACATATATCAAAGCCACCACAAAGACACCTGGGGCCTGGTAAGTAAACATGGAGTGATCGGCACGGGAGACAGTGAACCCAAACTCCAAAAGTGCATCGGTGAACTTCGTGTACCAATTACAGGAGGCTTGACGCAGTCCATATAATGACTTACGCAGGCGGCAAACTCGCTGATCTCCGGGTTTAGCAAAGCCCTGTGGGACTTTCATGTAGACCTCCTCCTCCAAATCACCATGGAGGAAAGCGTTATTGACGTCAAGCTGATGGAGAGGCCAACCCTTGTGCGCGGCAACAGAAAGAAGAACCCGAACAGTTACCAACTTCGCTACAGGCGCGAAAGTGTCATGAAAATCAATGCCCTCGAGTTGAGTGAAGCCTTTGGCCACAAGACGTGCCTTATAGCGTTTAACTGTCCCATCAGTCTTGTATTTGATCTTGTAGACCCACTTGGAATCAATAGCATGTTTCCCAGGTGGCAAAAGCTCAAGTGTCCAAGTACCATTTGCTTCGAGCGCGGCAATCTCCCGTTGCATGGCCTCGCGCCACTGTTGTTGCTGTGCAGCTTGGTGGAACGTACGAGGCTCCAGGAGAGCAGTCATGGCAGCCAAGAAAGCACAGTGATTAGGAGAAAAGCAATGATAATCCACATATCGGGACATAGGAAACTGAACAGCATGGGAAGAGATACCAGGCAACTCTACCTCATACGAATCGAGACGTCGTGGAGGACGTCGTTCGTGATCGGGATTACGGCGCGGAGGAGCGGGCGCTGGCGCTGAAGGAGACAAAACAGGTACGTCCACATCTTCGCCGGACGCGTCACTATCACCATCGGTCAGTGGCGGGGACTGAGTGCCATCGGAGTGTGGGTTCATGTCATCCGCAACAGCCTCTTGTGAAGGCGCATCATGAGGGGCAGCAGTATCGGGTGCTTGCTCATGTGAGGAAGCCGAGCGGCTTACCTGGTCGAGGGAATCATCATCAGCAGGGAAAAGCTCCCCCTCTCCATGATCACGTCGAGAAGGGTGCATGGCGAGCTCATGCACGTGAGTGCGATAGGGAACATGTAACCGCGGCAGGGAAGAAGATGGCTGCTCGAGGAAAGGAAAAGAATGCTCCACAAAATGAACATCACGCGCGACTATTACCTTGCGAGCTTGGAGATCAAAGACTCGATAGCCCTTCTGGTTGCCGGGATAGCCAATGAAAATGCCAGCCCTCCCCCTTTCCGCGAACTTATCAAGAGCATGATGAGTGTCCTAAGTGTACACGAGGCATCCAAAGCTGCGCAAGTGAGAATAAGTAGGCAACCGACGAAGAAGAAGCTCAAAAGGGGTTTTCATGGAAAGCACCGGCGTGGGAAGACGATTGATTAAGTAAGCAGCAGTGACCACACAATCCCCCCAAAACTGAACCGGGAGCCCTGCATGGAACAAAAGTGCCCATGCCGTTTACAAGAGATGCCGATGTTTGCATTCCACAACACCGTTTTGCTGAGGAGTGTCGGTTCAAGAAGTCTTCAAAATGATGCCCTTCTCCTCATAGTAAGAACGCAAAGAATGAGTCTGAAACTCGACACCATTGTCAGCTTGGATGTGACGAACCAAGCAACCATACTGTGTCTGGGCTAGTTCACAATGCATCCTGAGATAGCGCTCGGTATCAGACTTGAATTTCATGAGATAAACCCAAGTAGAGCGACTTTAATCATCAACTACAGTTAAGAAGAACCGAGAGCCATCCAAAGCAGGAGTTCTATAAGGCCCCCAAATATCAACATGAAGAAGTTCAAAACAGGAAGTAGTTTTGATGGAACTACGGGGAAAAGGAGTACGAGTCTGTTTAGCACGCAAACAAGAGTCACAATGTGCAGAAGACCGAGAATCCAAATTACAACCCAAGAAATTCTGTAATGAAAGCAGCCTGTCTGTCGAGGGATGTCCGAGCCGGGTGTGCCAGAGGTCCGCAACATCCACGCCATGAGCTGCTTTACACGCCTGGGGAGAAGTCCCGTCCGACAACCTGCTGAAGTAATAAAGACCATCGTGAAGCGTACCGACTCCAATCAGCATCTTGGAAGGTAAGGCCTGAATAACGCAGAAGTCATGAATAAATATCACTGCGACGTTATGATCCCGGGTCAAACGACTCACCGAAAGAAGATTATACTTGAAGTCAGGCACATGCAAAACACGACTCAAGCTAAGCGAATCAGACAACTGCACAGAGTCTATGCCATGAGCCGGTATCCCCGTTCCATCGGGAATCTGAACCTTAGAAGAGCCAGACTCAATATCAACTGAATTCAACCAACGAGCATCTCGAACAATGTGTTCGTTGCAACCAAAATCGATTAACCATTCATAAAGATTAGGAGCATTACCCGCCATGTGCGCAGTCGAGTCAGTAGGCGTCTCAGGTGATGAGGTTGACAAAAACTGCCTGAGCTGTGCGAACTAAGCTGCGGTTAAACCTGGGATGGGGCTGTTGGCAGCTGGGTCAGGCTCTACATGCGCAGCCTTGGCTCGACGGGGAGCAGCATTCGGCGGACGATCATCGCTTGACTTAGCCCAAGGATGCCCTGGAGGGAATCTGATGAGGCGATAGCAGGTCTCCCGCGTATGTCCCAACTTATTACAATGGGAGCAACGTGGTTTGTCACGATCCTCCTTGACTTCCTTGTCAGCCTGAGCTTGGAAGGCAGCAGTATCCACTGAAGGTCGGCGCCCATTAGTAATCAAGCGATGTTGCTCTTCAGATGAAATGATTTGATAGGCCTCATTGAGTGATGGAATAGGTTTAGTGCTGAGAATTTGAGAACGAACAACAGCATAACCATCATCCAAGCCGAGCAAGAACTCAAAGAGGCGTTCCTTATCCTGATGCGCCTGCTGGAGTGCGGGTAAGTCACAGCTGCAACCGCCACAGGTGCAGCCCGCACAAACACAACGAGGAGCCCCACCAACAACATCCATCTCGTCCCAGTAGGATCGTAGTTTAGTGTAAAATGCCGATACAAAAAGCTTTTCTTGGCGCAAGGAACTTATCAGACGACGGAGCTCATATGCCCGCTGCGCTGACCCTTTGCTGAACCGCTTCTGCAAATCAACCCAAATGGCGCGTGCTGTAGTAGCCATACGCACACTGTTTCGGACCTCACGCGTCATCGCCGTTTTCAGCCAGCCTTTAACGGTGGCATCCCACCTATCCCAAGCTTCCTGACGGGGCGGAGTACCAGCCTTGTGACGCGGCATGGACCCGTCGACGAACGCCATTTTGTTCTTGGCCACTAGGGTTTCGGTGAGGTCATTGACCCACTCACCATAATTCAGATCGGTAAGCAAATCACTGCCAAATAGCTGAGCAGGATTCTCCGAAGGATGCAGATAGAGGGGAGAGCTGATCGGAATGACTTCGTCGCCAACGGGCTCACTTCTCATGCCGCCGCCAGTCTCCTCTTTCCCAGTCATGATGCGAGATGATCAAGCAAAGAGATCTGAA